GTCAGATGTGTTTTATTAAATATTATTAAATTAAACACAATGCATTGTTTATTTGCTACACAGTTCAGTGCATATTTATACCAACACATACTTTATGTCGGGTTGGAAGTTTTTCGAAAATCTCAGATCTCCAATCTTTCCATGAGTTCTATGGATTGTAAACATTTGGAATACAAACATTTTTTTAAGTATTTGTTTTGACTGAAAACAGTCTTAAGTATTTCCAATTTTATTCAGGGAATTTTTTCCGTTTTCTTTTATACACTCTGTATAATAAAAGACAACAAATATTACCATAAATTCTTCATCAATCTGTATTCATATTTGTCTCATAAATAACCGTTAAAGCCCATTAATCTTAGAAACACAAAGAATAAAAGATTCATGATGTCTACGAATTTTATTATAAAATGTTCAAAGAAACCACTATTCACAGACAATAAATCGACGCTTATTCAGTCCCAAGTACTGTTTAAAAATTTACGAGTATTTCTAAAAATAATTTCATTTTAAAAATCAATATCGAATACTCATCACGAACCCCTAACACTTTTCCCCGTGATAAAATTTCACCCAAATCTTCTTAAGGGATTACTCTAATTAAGCGCAAATTATAAGTCCTTCATTGAAATTGCACGCATGGAGAAACACAACTTCTTCTGTAATCAGTAAAGTTAACAAGACCTAAGCCCATAAGAAATTAAATATTTGTTAGAAACTACCTGAAGCTAAGTCTTTAACCCACAAATCGAGCACGATCAACTAGATGAAAACGGCATCCGGAAGTAATCAGGCTTTCGATTTTTAAATCCCCATAGAGGAAAACGGCTTTATTACGTGTACATTTCTACCTTGATAGTAAACTTTGTAGGTCATGAAAGCACTTCTCGAAAGATGTAATAAAAAATACACGAGTTTGTTGAACGGAGTTTAATGAGAAATGACATTTCTTGATCTCGAACGTTTTTAGGTACATATCTTATGGCAAAATATTTATAGTACCGTAAATGCTGCGTAATGTAAGTTAAAATGCGTTTTTAAAATCAAACTATTAACAATTACAAGACACCACGAAGGAAGTAAAAGAAAAAACAATCATTACGTCAAATTTGTCCAATGGGACAAATGTTTTTTTTTTAGATGCAAACAGTAGATTTTTTTAATTCACTTTATACTTGTCAGTGTAAACACTGAAACTGATAAAAGGAGTAAACACAAACAATAAGTGATCTTACTACCAATATAATAAAACTTTAATAATAATTAATATTATTTTATGTTAACAATTTTTGTCTTCTGAAGTTAAATAAAACGAGATATAACAACTTGAATGGAATACCTAATTTCTTTTTAAATCATATTTAAGATTTTCTTTTACAAAGTGATTCTCGTGAGTTCTTTTATACGTCCAGGGGTTTCAAATATAATTTGAATATAATGTAATAATTTTCACTTACATACAACGAGGCTATTTTTAAAAAACCATTATAACCGTATTTGAAAACTTAAAAATTTACAACGAATTTTTCAGAGAAATTAATAACTTTATATAATTTCTACTACTTTACTAATACGTCATGCTGCAATAGTGCAATACATATAATATACACAAATTTGTAACCTTAAAATTTAACAAAACACTTGTTGGGCAGGAGTACGAAAAAACAAAGTTCTCTAGTAGGCCATAACATTTAATTTTAAATGATGATATTGGCAACACCATCTTTATTTAGTTTGATAGGTAGTTACGGTCAAATCGCTGTCAAATAAAGTTTCAAATAGCTGCAATGCCAACTTAATTATTTTAAAAATAAATTTCATTGCCCACCAGAGAACTTTTTTTTCGTTCATGGTATTAATCTCCGAAGCTACTAGACCGTTTGTTGCAAATTTGGTATGTATATTAGGAATACCATGTAGATGGTTAAATACTAACTAAAATTTGGCTAATCGTCCCTACCACCAATGGGATGATGTCATCTCCAAAATGTATAATAAAAAGTTTTTGAAATTTTATAAAATTATATAAAAATATTTTCTAATATAACTTTGAAATGTTAATCAAAATATATCTGTTTATTCCTCCCAAAAAATTTATGACCTCATCTCAAATTTTTGTGATTTATCATTGCATTCATATTTTTTAGATTTGCATAACCAGGTCGCCCAAAAAAATAACGAAGGAGTCCCTTTATTTTATTGATTAAATCAGGAACAGCTCACTTCATTTTCGCAGAAAATTTTTAGAATACAATACTTGTCTTTACAGAAATCTGGATGACGTCATCACAAAATTGTGTAAAGAAAAAACTCAACTCGAAATACTGGATATGTATCATTGTACTTCAGGAGCGAGCGAAGTTCTATCGAAACAACTTTCGACGAATTTTTTTTAATTCGAAAGTAGAGTTATTTTTAAAATCTTTGGATCAATATTTTATGGACATAAAAATAAAGAAATAAACTTTCTTGTACCATTAATATAATTGATTTTTATTATACCGTAGGTTTACAAAAAAATAATTATCAAACCTTCATACCATTTTTTTCGATATTTTGGTATTTCACTTAACAAAAAGAAAATAGCGCAAAAATAACACCTTTAAATATAAACAATACTAGCAAAAAAGAGAATAAGAAACAAAATAAGTTGCACTAACAAAATGCAGAAAGGTCTAGTGAAAAACTGAGATACCATTAATTAAAAGTTATATTTTATAAATGCTTTGTATAATAAAGCTCAATTTTATTAGTATAGCATACCTTTGTTTATCTGTTCATAAAATATTGCAACACTCTCCGCTGCGATTTTTTTATAAAATTTGTGAAAAAATTCCAAAAAAAGCCTAAATGAAATTAACCAAGATATCTAAAAATAAGTTTAGGGTTTAAAATCTACGCTGTGATGGCTAAAATATGTGTAGAAAATTCTCATTCTTAATGCAGTTTTACACAAACTTTTGACATGACTTTTTTATTGGGGTTACAAACTCAAAATAGATTTGTATTTGGAATATAAAAATTATGACATGTTTAATTTCATTTTATATACCTACAGGATGCATTCCTAAGAGCGTGCTCCTAGATATCTAATTAATTAATAAGAGTATTAGAGATAAAAAAGTCACCAACCAAAGTCGTATAATTTTTTGAATAGCATATATTAAAATTATTTTTGACTATACAATGTTTGCTTTTGAGGCATAACACACGACCTCATTTTTTTTTAGATAGGACACCTTATATATATTTTAGATAGTATCATTATTTTTGTCCTAGGCTTTATAACTATTGTTTATTTTTTACAATTTTCAAAGATCCTTATTTCAGGTTTTTCAAATAGAACACGCTGTACTTTCTTACAGCATCCTACTATATTTTTTATACTTTTTCTTTCAAAATGTCGGTTTGTCTCTTAAAAAAAGGAAAAACTTACAATAACAATTTATTTTAAAGATAGAAAATACTTAACAAAATGAAAAGAGACCAGCAAACAGAATAAGACGGTAATAAAGTACCGGCTGTTTTGTCTGAAAAAACTAAATATTTGAAAATTATGAGGTGGTTGGAACAAAAACCAATCTCATTAGAAAATTATACTATATTTTTTATTTTTCCTCAAAATATTGTAACATACATTTTAAAACTAACTTTATTGTGATCTTTTTTGTGAATCTTTCCATTGCTAAAAAATTCAAGCAAATTGTAGTAATGTCGCATCAAAATTTCAAAAATAAATTGTCGTTATAAAGTCCAAGAATAGGTCAGAATGCCTAAAAATTTATTGTATTTGAAAAAATCTCTTAAAAAGAGAACATTGTGTATTGCTGAAAATAAAATAAAATAATAATAATACATAATATCAACCTAACAAATATATATATAGTAGAGTAGAGATATTAAAACTGGATTATGAATATAAAAATAAACTGAGTGCTAGAAAAAAGAATTAAAAGTAAGGCAAAAATTATGTCCGAAATATAACGTTGAAATTTGATAAATGAAATATATATAAGAAAAAACGTCAAAAATTTAATATTTATGTATTTAGGATTTTCTCGTACAAGTTTTTTTGACGTTTTCGATGTCTTTCAATTTTTTTTTTTTTGTATTTTTTTGTGGTAACTTGTTTCAAACACATAGATAAAGTTAAATAATGCAACATATTTCTATTTTCGTTGTAGAAAATTTCGGACAAATGTACGCCGTCCTATATAACTAAACAACAAATTGTGTTAACCCCGAGCTTTCCTCGCCTCTCCAGCATAATCCATGTCGCTGTAGATTGCTCAGAAAAGACTGTTGATGTAAATATTTTTTCACCTCTTATCTTTTTGAATGTTTTGATATAGCTGCTTACGTACAACATACTGTACGTAAAATTTTCAAATTTTGTTACTTCAAGTGGAGCAACTATAATTGTAAAATGAAAAAAATCAAAATTTAAAACAGAACATCTTTGTGTAATTTTAAATGTATAATAGGGTTATTAACTTAAATCAAAAAACTTTACAGAAAAAAAAGTGAAGAAAATAGTTACTTGCTTTGTATTTGATTAAAATTTGATCACAAAAGAATACTTTACTTAGTTCATTCTCCAAATAACTTCTTAGAATTAGATTATGCTACAATCCCATAAATTACCATATGAATATAGCGCACTCCCATATTCACGTAAAGTAGATTTGAACGAATATTTCACCTGAAGTTCACCCGAATTTTTGTTGCCATTCGTTAAAATAAAATTAGCTTCAAAATCTATAACTGTATAACAAAATGACTTAAAGTACAGCTATGAAACAATTATTATTATTTGTAGTTTGATGGTGTTTTTTATACTTTTTTTTTTTGTAATAACACCATAAGCTGTTATTATACTGCAGTGCTTCTCCAATTCCAAACCAACACCCTGTTAACTTTTTAAAACTTTTCAATCCCCCTTTTCAATTTTACTATTTCCCGCAAAACAAAATTTCATAAAACTTTCAAAACTCTCTTACCTTGTGATTTGCAGCTGCCGGAACGAAATTCAACAGGTTGGTGAACAAGTTCGGGAGTTAGTTTCTTTCACAAAAGGCCGGAAGATTCTAGCAGGAGCCGTGAAGAACTCCTGTCGATCGAGAGCACCGAGTCGCGAGCGACGAAATTCCGAAAGTTGCTGAAGAGCACAAGCCGATGGTGATGTTGCCGACTGTAAGTGGTAAAGATCACGCAGGTTATGGACGTCGCGACGGTGATAGAGCGTCTTTATAGGCAGTGACATGCGCGTCGGTCATTTACTTGATGCTGATGGCTCATGACTTCATTCCGCAAGAATCAAAACGATTCAACAGCCATCAGCATGCATTAAACTGATGTGGGATGCTACTCTTTGATGTTTTGTTGGACTTATCCTGGTATAGGCGAGGCGAGCTTAACAAGGTATCAAAGCGGGTAGAAAATTTCGCGGGAGGAAAATTTTTACTCTGGCGTTCATTACGGGAGGAGGTGGCAATTTTTCACGCTCAGTTATCTGCGAAAATTAAAATTTATCAAATGAATTCGCCATTTTAGTGCCTTTTTAATTTCAAATTAGTTATGACACATTTCTAATGTAAGTATATTTATTACCTTTACTTCCCGAAAAATAATTGAGGGATATATTGTAATAGAGTCCTTCAAACTTTCGCATTTTCAGGTTTTATTTCCGTTTCACAGCTTGCGTGGTACAAGTTTGCATTTTTACATCTTTGTGTCAATTTTTTGGAAATTTTGAAAAAATTTGATAAACTTGAATTATAGATACAAATAAAGATAACATTGAAGAAAATACATTCAACAATATACTATAAAGGGCATTCAATTTAAAAATTCATCCAGTTGGCGTTGAATTTTTGATAGATGAAAACCTAGCGAATATCGCATGTGTTTTATAAATCTATATTGTTGTAGATAATTGATATTTCCACTGTCATCAATGAAATTTTATGTTAATTTATAGACACATTTTACAATGTTTACAAAAAGTCAAGGCCGAACTTTTTCAACCACCCAGTATCCACACATAATTTTGAACTGTAAGGAATGTTCGTCAAGATATATTTCAAGAAATTTGTGTTTTAAATTCTCACAGTTAAATTCCCTTCCATTGACGACCGCGTATAAGAAATTTAAAATCGAAGTAAAATGCTCAAACAATTTAAATTCAACTGAAAAAATAATAGCGATCATAACATTATAAAAATTTTGATGTTTGTTTACTTCACAATCCATTGAATTACTATGAATTCAACGAGCTATTTAGGGAATTGTAGATTTTATTTTCTGAGGCACAATACAGTAACTTTTTTAAAGAAAACATATTTTTCACTTATTTATTGCCTCCCGACCGGCAGCCTAGAGAATTTTATATTAGAGTTATTTTAACAAACCCCTAAGGTCATAAAGAAACGAATACGAAAAGGTGTTTTATAATCGAGTCCATCGGACAAATGGCCAGTTTTATATGTTCTCGACGTTTCATGGCCACTAGAGTACGAAAAAAATAGTCTCCCGTTTCCGTCTGTCTGTCTGTCTCGTGTCTGTATCCATTTTTATCAGACACGTAATTTCCGAAACTGCTGAACCGATTGTTGTCAAATTTTGTATGTGTATATTAGAAATATCATGTAGATAGTTATAGTCGCCTCACCACTTTAAGAAACTTTGACTAAAGTTATAAATCATAACGACAAAGAAACCCGTCAGATTTAAGTACTTTACCATAGTAAGTAGCTTAGACTAAATACTTTCCTCTGATAACGTTAATGCACCCCATCCTTTTATACCTACCTGCTTTATTTGTATGATAATATTTATATAATTGTCCTTGCCAGTACGAGTACGACCTTATTGCAAAGCATATTTAACTAAATTAAATTAAATTTGATAGTAATAATTGTTTAATGATCAAAGATCTTTTTCGGAAAATATAGTACAACTAGTAGAATCTCTACTTTATCTAACGAATATTTGAAGGAATAAAAACGTTACAAAAACCAGGAAGGAATTTATGATCCTGAGGAAATAAAAAAAAAAAAGTTACCACGGTGATTAAAAATCGGCGTGGGTAAAACTTAATAATTTATTTCTCAGTAACTCGAATTTATACTTACGACTATTACAGCGATTATGTACAGAATAACTTCGTGGAGCAACTTGAATGAATTCCTTCACTGTACTATACTTGCTAACTCAATAATCTCGTTTCGAAGGCGACCTCTGTTTAAATGCATACCTCCCTTCTAGATGTTTGACAATCGAGGTCTTTCTGGAATACCCACTCGCGACTTCCGCTTCTAGGCTCTTCTTGAGCGATGGGGTTCATTACCGTTATGAGAAGGATGTGTTTAACCTAAGTTACTTCCTCGTACTGTGGCAAAGCACTTAAATCCGACGGGTTTCTTTGTCGTTATGATTTATAACTTTAGTCAAAGTTTCTTAAAGTGGTGAAGCGACTATAAATGCTAACCAAAATTTTGCTAATTATCCCCACCAACAATTTAATGACGTCATTTCAAAGAATTCTATGTTTATTTGATATAGGAATGCGGACTGGACGTCATGGGTTCGGTTCCAAAGTTGGCCTTTCATTTCTATTCTTTTTTTTTTCTCATTTTCTCTCGCGTTGTCTATTATTATCTATGTTTATGACGTCATAACAAATTTTTTATTGATGAAATTACCCCATTTTCTCGAAAAGATAAAAATTTTGTCGAGGATCTCATCTTTTTTAAAAATTTAAAATTTTCTCGGGGGTGCCAAATCTTTTTTTTTTAGAATGTGAAACCTTCTCGGGAGTCTCAACTGTATTTTTTAAAAAGATAAAACCTTCTCGGGAGCCCCAAATGTTTTTTTTTAATGTGAAACCTTCTCGGGGCTCCCAACTATCTTTTTTTAAATATAAAACTTTCTCGGGGGCGCCAAATGTATTTTTTTAAGAATGTGCAACCTTCTCGGGAATCCCAATTACCTTTTTTAAAAATGTAAAACCTTCTCAGGGGCGCCAAATGTCTTTTTTTAAGAATGCGGAACCTTCTCGGGGATCGCAATTGTCTTTTTTTATGGAAAACCTTCTCGAGGGCCCCAAGTGAATGTTTTTAAGAATGTGAAATCTTCTCGGGGGTCTCAACTGTCTTTTTTAAAAATGTAAAACCTTCTCGGGAGTCCCCAAATGTCATTTTTTAATGTGAAACCTTCTCGAGAGTCCCAAATGACTTTTTTAAAAATGTAAAACCTTCTCGGGGGCGCCAAATATCTTTTTTTAAGAATGTGCAACCTTCTCGGGAATCCCAATTACCTTTTTTAAAAATGTAAAACCTTCTCAGGGGCGCCAAATGTCTTTTTTTAAGAATGCGAAACCTTCTCGGGGATCGCAATTGCCTTTTTTTATGGAAAACCTTCTCGAGGGCCCCAAGTGAACGTTTTTAAGAATGTGAAATCTTCTCGGGGGTCTCAACTATCTTTTTTAAAAATGTAAAACCTTCTCGGGAGCCCCAAATGTCATTTTTTAATGTGAAACCTTCTCGAGAGTCCCAAATTACTTTTTTAAAAATGTAAAACCTTCTCGGGGGCGCCAAACGTCTTTTTTAAGAATGTGAAATCTTCTCAGAGACGCCAAATGTTTCTTTTTTTAGATTGTGAAACCTTCTCGGGGCTCCCAACTATCTTTTTTTAAATATAAAACTTTCTCGGGGGCGCCAAATGTCTTTTTTTAAGAATGTGCAACCTTCTCGGGAATCCCAATTACCTTTTTTAAAAATGTAAAACCTTCTCAGGGGCGCCAAATGTCTTTTTTTAAGAATGCGAAACCTTCTCGGGGATCGCAATTGTCTTTTTTTATGGAAAACCTTCTCGAGGGCCCCAAGTGAATGTTTTTAAGAATGTGAAATCTTCTCGGGGGTCTCAACTGTCTTTTTTAAAAATGTAAAACCTTCTCGGGAGTCCCCAAATGTCATTTTTTAATGTGAAACCTTCTCGAGAGTCCCAAATGACTTTTTTAAAAATGTAAAACCTTCTCGGGGGCGCCAAACGTCTTTTTTAAGAATGTGAAATCTTCTCAGAGACGCCAAATGTTTCTTTTTTTAGATTGTGAAACCTTCTCGGGGGTCCCAACTGTCTTTTTTTAAATATAAAACTTTCTCGGGGGCGCCAAATGTCTTTTTTTAAGAATGTGCAACCTTCTCGGGAATCCCAATTACCTTTTTTAAAAATGTAAAACCTTCTCAGGGGCGCCAAATGTCTTTTTTTAAGAATGCGAAACCTTCTCGGGGATCGCAATTGTCTTTTTTTATGGAAAACCTTCTCGAGGGCCCCAAGTGAATGTTTTTAAGAATGTGAAATCTTCTCGGGGGTCTCAACTGTCTTTTTTAAAAATGTAAAACCTTCTCGGGAGTCCCCAAATGTCTTTTTTTAATGTGAAACCTTCTCGAGAGTCCCAAATGACTTTTTTAAAAATGTAAAACCTTCTCGGGGGCGCCAAATGTCTTTTTTAAGAAAGTGAAATCTTCTCAGAGACGCCAAATGTTTTTTTTTAGATTGTGAAACCTTCTCGGGGGTCCCAACTGTCTTTTTTTTAAATATAAAACTTTCTCGGGGGCGCCAAATGTCTTTTTTTAAGAATGTGCAACCTTCTCAGGGATCCCAATTACCTTTTTTAAAAATGTAAAACCTTCTCAGAGGCGCCAAATATCTTTTTTTAAGAATGCGAAACCTTCTCGGGGATCGCAATTGTCTTTTTTTATGGAAAACCTTCTCGAGGGCCCCAAGTGAATGTTTTTAAGAATGTGAAATCTTCTCGGGGGTCTCAACTGTCTTTTTTAAAAATGTAAAACCTTCTCGGGAGTCCCCAAATGTCTTTTTTTAATGTGAAAACTTCTCGAGAGTCCCAAATAATTTTTTTTAAAATGTAAAACCATCTCGGGGGTGCCAAATGTTTTTTTTAGAATGTGAAACCTTCTCGGGGGTCCCAACTGTCTTTTTTTCAAAATGGAAAACGTTCTCGAGGGCGCCAAATGTCTTGTTCAAAAATGTGAAACTTAAATTATTACTAATTAGAAAAAAATTGATCGAAGTTTATTTCGACACAACTTTCCTCGCCTTTGAATCCAACAAATCCCGCCTCTTTAAAAAATTATAAAACTTGATTTTGCGAATTTTATTTTGCGATTACCTCTAAAAGGTAAAAACCACTGCCGTAAATAACA